CTTATAAAATCAAAATTTTTGAAGTAATATATAAGCATCATAAAATATTGGATTTTTAAGTATCATGAAAAAATAAGAACAATTAACATTAATAGTATTTAGTATTTTTATTTGTATTAAATTGCAGGTTTAATTGCAAAATATAGTTAGTATCTTTTACGCGGTGGTAATATTAGCCACCATCTTTATGAATTGACAATATTAACCAACAACTTTCAAAACTACCCATGTCCGACCAAATTTGATGGCTATTGTTGCCACTGCGTAAAAAGATATTGATTATATTTTGCAATTTATTTGTCAAATTTGGTTGGATTTTAGGTAATAATCTCGAAATTTTTGAAAGTTGCTGGCTAATATTGTCAATTCGTAAAAATGGTGGCTAATATTGTCACCGCATACAAGATACTGACTATATTTTACAAATTAGCCTTAAATTGCCAGTTGAAAAAACCCCCACTTCTAAAGTTATGATAGACCAGTTGCACTCAAGATTGAAAATTTTGCTACTTATATGTTATGACTAGTACTCTATTATCTACACATGATATAAATTACGTGTGTGCATATTAAAATTATAAATCAAATAATTATGCTCACATTTAAAATATATCATTACCAACTAAACAATATAAGAAAATTAACTACATGTGAATCACTATATTGATTGCATAAAATGTAATGAATAATATACTTTTTATAGTTTTGAGAAATCATGACCAATTAATTAGCCAACAAAATTTTAAAATTATCATTATCGCAATTATTTGTGTAATTTTAAGGTGTTGTCTGATCATTAAAACTAATTAGTTTATATAAAAATATCCGCTCTTTAGATTATTATTATTATTATTATTATTATTATTATTGTTATTATTATTATTATTATTGAAGTTTCTAGGAAAAATTCTAGTGCTTCTTCTATTAGTGAAGTTTTTAGGAAAAATATATGAAACGACGCAACGCACCTTGGGTCGCTATGGAAACAACCTCCTTGTATAATTACAAAGGTAAAGTCTGCGTACAATTGACCCCCCAGACCCCAACCTGTTTGGAAATATACTGGGTATGTTGATGATGTTGATGATGTATTATTATTATTATTATTATTATTATTATTATTATTATTATTATTATTATTATTATTATTGTTATTTATGCAATTTTAATAGGTTTGAAACCTAAATAGTTTTATACATATTTTGTTAACGTTTTTACTAGCAATAATATATAGATTACAAACTGTTTGGTTGCTACAAAAATTGTTGATGACAATAACAAATTATTTTCTGTTTCCGAGCATTAGCAACTCTGTTTTCGCTAAGCAATTATGAGACTAAATTCATTTGTTTTTGTTATGTACTAATAACAAAAACGACCTTGTGCAATAATAATTTACATTTCTGAATCTCTATTTTCTAGTCGTGATCTTTACATTCAAACATCATATATTTTTTACCTGTATATATTAAACTCCATTTAAGACTTGTGCATGAGTGGACACAGATATATTGGCATTTGATTGATCTTATTTGCTAAACATAATTAATTTCAAAAAAGCTGGTTTGGTTAGTTTTTAGTAATGCTATTAAATTGAGCGAGTCTGGCTCGACTCGACTTGTTAAGCCTCAAGTTCGGCTCCAACTCGAGCTCATTTAAAGCTCGTTTGGTTAACGAGCCGAGCTCGACTCGACTGATCGATAAGTCTCGGATCAATGAAATTTCGTATTCATGTCATGTTAGTAATAATTACTAAAACACACACGACCAGGATTTTATAGGCACAAATTGAGAACTTTCTTTGTTACTTAAATTCATGACCGTGAGCATTCTATAATATACGTAATGTCATTATACACACAAAATTCAAGTGATATATTTAAACTTGATATAAATAAAACTGAAAAGCAAATCTGGATAGGAAAAATTCATGGGAAATATAGTAAAAACATTAATGTCACCTGCATAATTGTGTGTGTGTGTGTGTGTTTCTTTTGTTAATTAGTGTGTTCATGCTTTCCCAACTAAAACATACAGGTTAGCACTCAAATAAACCAAAAATAAAAAATATATAAAAATTGGAACCTGTGACATTTTATTAGGAAATATGCAACAAAACATTTGAAATGTTTTCATAAACTCTTCAATTAGGAGAACTAAAAAAATGAAACAAAATTTAAGTCTCATTTAGCCTTAGCGTTTGTATATATATGGTTGCTACGTACCTATAAAGTCCGGCGGCGTCTTTCCATTCCCGAACCTCCCCGTGGCGACTCCACCTTCAAAGTCTTTACCGTAAGGCAAAAAATTGCACTTAACCAGCGTGCTAATCGCGTTGTTATTCCCTTGATCGACAATTGAGTCCCCAAACGCAAAAACTCCGGGAATCGTCATGTTCGCCGGGAGTTTTATAGCCGCTGCACAAATTAAAATTCTCACGCATGATAGACAAAACACAACACTCAAAACCCTTGAAGAAAAACAAATCTTCTTCATTTTAAGATTTTTTTTTTTTTTTTTTCTCTTTTGTATTGTTGGGTGGTCTAGAAAGAGTGGGAAGCTGGCTATTTAAAAGAGCTCTTGATTTGTTTTGTTAATACTTAAATTACTATAGTTGGTGTTAACATTTAATTGTAAAAGCTAGCAAGCAATTTTTATTTAATTATTATTATTTTTTTTTCCATATGTATAGGTGCAGCTAGCAATAGTTGTACGTGTGCTTTTTCTTGGCTACTCATCACTGGTTGGTGTGATTAATTATTATTAACTGGTAGAAGGTGAATATAATTGGCACCTTCAAGCATCAGGTGAATATAATCTGGCTGCGGGACTCTCAGCCGCCTTGTTTTCGCTGGTTCGATGAGGTGCCGCTACTTTGGAAGGGCTCGTCTCGTTTTAGTTGCCGTTCTTTTGTTTTTGCTTCGTGTTTTTGTTTCGTTATTTAGGTTGTGTTGTCGTTGTATTTTTGGTCTGGGCCATTTGACCTCTGTTCGCCTGAGTGTCAAACTTATTATCCTGTTGGGATTCGACACTCAGGTATTCTCCTATTAGGAGCTTTTTTAGTTTTTTTTTTTTT